GGAAGACTTTTTTCCCCCTGCTCCTTGTCCCTCTGGGGCATAATCATGCCCACATATAACAAATGATGCACATCCCCCTAGCAGGGGGCAGCTAATGACACACATTCCCCAGCAGCCTGCCCTGCATGCAGCTGATATTACAACACCCCCTGTTGTGTGTATTCTTCTACAGTTTAAAAGCTATAGAGAAAATATCAGAGTTAAGCAGATGCCGACTGTCAGTTCTAAGGGAGTGAATGCCTTCTGCAAGCAAGCATGATAAAATCTATGCTCCTTGTTGGATATTTAAAGACATTGTCCTGTAGCATTACTCAAAGATGTACAGAGGTCCAGAGAAATATTGTACAAGAGCCATATATGATATGTACCTTCAGGAAAAAGTTACATATATTTTTAGTATCTGGAATAGAGAAAGTTGGATGAAATAACCAAGGAATTTCCTCCACCATTATGAATCTCACTTCTTTAGCTCTGATTGCAATGGCAAATCGAAACAGATTTTGATACTTATCTGACAAATGTAAGCAAAGAGAAATTAATTATATATGCCTATTGAAAAATAAATTGTACTTTTTAGGTAGCTCCATAGTGTAGCGGTTAGCACGTCTGCTTTACACGCAGAAGGTCCTGGGCTCGTGCCCCAGGTGGAGCCAGGGACCATACCCCGGGTGGGCCAGGCCCCAGGTACTCACCACAAGCATGTGGGAGGAGACACCCCGCCTTCAGAGATCCAGTTCTTAAAGGGAAAACAACATCCATAGATCAGGGGTGGAAGTGGCAGCGGGGGGTGGGGGGTGGTGGGTATTAAAGGGGAAAAATAAAAGAAAAAAAATTGTATTTCTTTTGGAAACCTAAGTTATCCAAATTACCTGTCCAAATTCACTAAGTAAGTGGTCAACAATTTCCTATATGCTCAGTCACCACTGATGTGCAAGTATCTGAGAAATAAAGAAGGAATGTTAATTGTAATGTAAGCCCATTCAGTGGATGTGGAATTCAGGGAATGATGTCCCCTCATTAACAACTAAAATCTGGTTCTCAAAAGAGTTATCAAAATGTTCTCTCATATGTTAGCATCTAAAATAATTACAGCAGCAATATGGTCTACATTCTACAGGCTGCTTCTACCAACTGGCTAGACAACTATTTTCTCAAATTAAATTAACTCCATACTCTAGTTTTCAGAAATAAGTCTCTCTTCAACAACTCATTAGATAGACATATTTCCAAAGGGCTTATCTTCATGGAACAAAAGCTCATACTTCATTAACATTTCAAAAAAGTAAAGTAGGTCTTGCATTAATTAAAGCTTTGGCATGGGAGTCAGAAGATCTGGTTTCCATTTGGATATGCCGCCAACCAGAGAGAGGTATGTCCATTTGACAAATGCCAATGATACATTTAAAAATATGTAACTCTTAAAAAATGAGATCAGTGTGTTAAAAATATTTTTCAAATATAATTAAACAAATATACAACAAAACCGCCTATGGCAGAGTCTAGCTGTGCACCAAAATCTATTTTCTTTCCTTAGTAGACTGTCTTTTGCAGCCTGCCTTGGAGTTCAATGCC